GCATTTCATTTCCTCACCACTAAAGACACAAAAACAGTTCAGTATCCACACACACACACACACACACACACACACAAAAAAAAAAAAAGGATTACAATAAAATTGTGAACTAACACATAATATACCTTTCATCCTCTATAAGAAAGTCTATCAACCGGGAAGGCCTTCCACCAAGAACCTTTTCTATAGGAGAATATATTTCAATTATCCTTCCAATCACATCTAAAAACGGAAAGTTACAAAGAATTAAATCCAATATAAATACGAATGCAGTATAAAAAAAAAATTAATGAAATAGATTATTTACCAATAAGTTCCTTGTCGTCTATCTCAATTGATTTCAAATATTTAAAACTTCTCAAACGAAACATGTGCCTAGGAAAATATTGATTTTTGTACTCCTTGACAATGGTAGAATATATTAACTTGGCCATAAATTTGTTATTGCTAGTCTTATAAGTATAAAAGTTAGTAACACCCAGAAAATATTTTAGACAATAAACTTTGCCTTCAACAAATCTATTCCAGAATTTAACAACATGCTCGCGGGGTATATGAGCATATAAGACATTACCCTGCAATTACATTAAAAAAAATATTGTTGTGATTTTGCAAATTATCCTGCAATTAGTGAATTTATTTTCACAGATTAGATGCTTACCTCCCGATCATGGAACACGCATTCTCAACATTTGACAACTTCATTGCCCCTACATTCTCTAACTTCATATGTACGAATACATCTTACCTTCAACGCACACGTGGTTTTCATGGGCGTTATCTGACTGACCAAAATGTAGAGAGGAGGCATACTTGAACTGATATTTTCGACTGATCTGACAAAATGTTTATAGTGATGTAGAATTACCAGGATGTATATGAACTGATATTAGACTCCTTTTATAAGCCATGAATTAGAGTTATATTATGAATGTTTATTTGGAATTGTTTATATTCATGCTAATGTTTTGGAATAATGAGGATCCATTGAATAATAATTGTAATTAAAAATGACGTAAACCATTTTAAAAAAGAGTAAAAAGTAAAAATTAATTTTACCAATTCATTCACACGTTTGGAGGTGAAAAAATATTGTGGTTAGGATTCTGCTTTATTATATATAAAGATAAAGATTAAACATGGGTCGTTAAATTTTTTTTTTTTTTTTATTATAACTATTACAATTACTTTTATGATAATCTATATTTTTTTAATGCTTAAGGTGTAATACTATGAGAAGTAAATATAACTTATCATTTCTATTTTTTCGTGTAATTACTAAGGTAATTTTATGGATATATATATATATATATATATATATATATATATATATATTGATGTACGGGAAAGATGTGGTGAGTAAACGGGTGTAAATTTGTCGTTCCGCTAGGGATTGGGACTATGGCACGTACTTGAGTGATAACTAAAGTCCTCGGCACCAAAGTATTGGAACCCACAAGAATCCAAGCAAGTTCAAATTCATGGTTGAGTACGTCAACAATTAAAGGCTAAAAATCTAGTTAAGACAATGCAAATTAAACACAAGTAAACACAATAATAAAAGATGGGCTCAAATTAGGGGATGTTGCCTTCTAGATGCTTTAACAACTTAGGGATTAGGGGAGAACATCAACCAAAGGATCATAAAGGCAATGCACATAAAAATCCTAGCTTAAAGCCATTTTTCATAAGCTAAAAAACAAAGATTAGAGAAAGGATCGCCCTACTTTCGTGGTGTATCAATTCCTAGCTCTTAAAGCACAAAAGCATTTAGGCCCCTAATTCTTCCCTATTTTCATAAAAAGAAAATGGGTTTGAGAAAGGAGAGGCTTGAGTTCTTCACCCAACTTTCATTGTGGAGAATAACTATCCAAAAACAAGCTAATAAGAGTTACGTACCAAATATTAACAAGATTCAACATAAATCCATTTCAAACAAATGAACCCTAGGTTAGATATCTTCCCCCTTATGCAATAATCACCTATTTAGCATCTAGGTTGGCAATATCACCCTAATCCAAGCCCAAAAATGAACTACTCACACTTCATAAGCATAAATAACAACAAAGACAAGAAAGTATCATAAATATTGCACAAAAGCTTAAAAAGAAGAGTGAGAAAGCTTATCTATTGAAGATGAGAAATTTGTGGTTGAATCCCACTCCAATCCATGATTACAAGCTTTGTAGATGAGTTAGAGATGAAATATTAGACTAATCTAAGCTAAGGAAATGAAAGGAAGTGAAAGATGTGTTTTTGGGGTGAAAAATCCTCTTTTAAATGACAAAAAACGGGCTATTATGAGTTGCAGAATGCTGTCCACGGGTGTGGCTTCACTCGTGGCCAAAAATGCAGGGCACACTGCCCAGTGGCCATGGGTGTGGCCACGGCCGTGGCCAGACCCGTGGCCACAGGCAATGTGCACTGTCTGTGCACTGAGTTCGTCTTCTAGGCAAGTTTTCACTCTCAAAACCTTTGAATTAGCATTTTTAGTCTTCATCAAAGTTGTATCTCTTCAAGTTAGATTTCCAATAACATAAGAATCACTTTAATTGGACATTTGTAGCTCGAGATATGATCCAAAGACTATGACGTCGACGTACAGGTCGGGAATTGCATTGCATTGATCTTTTGCTTCTCTTTTGTTTTGGTTTGCCCAAATGACTAGGACCATTGAAAGCACCATCCTAGACTCCTTTGGGAGTGTTGCATCCATCTCCATAGCTTCATATTTGGCTCTCATTGACTCCAAATTCATCCAAAATGCCTCAAAAGTACACAATTATCTGCAACTCTACAATTTATTTATGCATCAAAAGATATAAACAAAGGAATTAAGGCACTTCTTTGCATAAAATCAAAGTGTCCATCACTCAAAATATGTCTATACAAGGGGTAAAAATATGGACATAAATGCACTTATCATATATATATATATATATATATATATATATATATATATATATATATATATAATTATTTATTTATTTATATAGATAGATAGATTAGCACTCATATGCGACGGGGGCTTACGGTGCGGTGGTGCGGCGGAGGTTCCATAAATACACCAACAGTGTTAACAACATGAACCAACAGTGTAAGAAAACACAGCACAATGAAATGCAGAAAAAAAAACACCAAAAAATACACAATACACCCAAAAAAGTACACAATATAACTCACCACACCCTAATGGTGTGTATTCCGAACACTTCTTTGCATAAAATCAAAGTGTCCATCACTCAAAATATGTCTATACAAGGGGTAAAAATATGGACATAAATGCACTTATCATATATATATATATATATATATATATATATATATATATATATATATATATATATATATTTATTTATTTATTTATTTATTTATATAGATAGATAGATTAGCACTCATATGCGACGGGGGCTTACGGTGCGGTGGTGCGGCGGAGGTTCCATAAATACACCAACAGTGTTAACAACATGCACCAACAGTGTAAGAAAACACAGCACAATGAAATGCAGAAAAAAAAAAACACCAAAAAATACACAATACACCCAAAAAAGTACACAATATAACTCACCACACCCTAATGGTGTGTATTTCCGAACACTCTATGGTGCGTTTACGCACACCTAATGGTGTGTTTTTAGTGATACGTACTTAATTTGTTTGTGTTTTTGTGTTGCATTTCATAACGTTGATGGTGTATAATCGGTCAACAGTTGGTGACGCCGCACCACCGCACCTGAACCTAACTCTCTCTCTCTCTCTCTCTCTCTCTCTATATATATATATATATATATATATATATATATATATAATATGTGAGCTGAATATTAAAGAATTGTATCGTCAAAATAGATACAACTAACAATGAACAAAAGTTAGGAGTAACAATATTTGAATATAAATTGATCGTTTTCATTTGAATAAACGTAGATTATCATCTAAATAAATACAACTAATATGGAACTGAAGAAGTATTTGAACATAACTCTTTTTTTCTTCTCCCAATTTTTTTTTTTTTTTGCTAACTACTATGTTGTGTGGTAGCACTCAGGGACGGAGGGAGAGGGGGGGCAGCTGCCAAAAATTATACAGCCCCAAAACGACGTCGTTTTGGGGCTGTATTATATATATATATATATATATATATATATATATATATATATATATATTCTTATTTGACTAACAGAAGATCTCTGGTCTATCTCTATGACTTTGCTCACTGCCCTCGGTCTCCGGTCTCTCTCTACGACTCCTCATCTCCGGTCTCTCTCTCCGGCAATAGCGGCAAGGCACAACACGGCAAGTCGGCACGACGGCAACACCACTCAAGCTCTCAACGCCTAAGCCTCTCCAAAACTCAGGTCTTTAATTTTGCCCTAATTTCTTTAATTTCCCTAATTACTCAAATTTTATTTTAATCAATTTATGTTTGATTGAATACTTGAATACATAAATTTGTTTATCAGTTTGTGTTTATGAATTATCAAGTATGAATTTATGAATGTGAATTTATAATTGGTGTTGCAGTGGTATGAATGTGAATTTATAATTGGTGTTGCAGTGGCTTGAAAAATAATTGAATGGTAGTGGCTTGAAAAATATGTATGGCAGTGGCTTGAAAAATAAATATATGTTTCATGTTTGATGTTTCTAGAGGCAGATATGGAGTGATGGCCGAATGAGGCAGTGGCCTGGGCCTAATTTTTATAATATTAATTTTCTAGAGGCAGTGATGGCCAATTTGGTGCATTTGTTTTTGTCATAATTTTCTTAAATCTTAGACTCTTAGTTATATTTTATTTTATTGATTCAGCTGTGGAAATTTTTTTAAAAGAAAATCAACTTTTGGGGATTTATCTAATTAAAGTAGTCGCGAAGTGTCAAGTGCAAGGCCTCGTATTGAAGTAGACATAGATGAACTTGAAGTTGACCCGGGTAAAAGGAAAAATATATATGAATATCATATCAATGATAGAGATATTGTGCGGAGACGGTATCTACAAATGGGTCCTTGTCAACCAAAAAATCATGTCTTTCCTTCTAGAGTGATTACGGGTGTTAATAGGAGATTTAATCCTAAATGGTTTGAAGATCATAGCAATTGGTTGGAGTATAGTGTATCTGAAGATGCAGCATATTGCTTATGTTGTTATCTATTCAAAGATGAAAGTATTGGACAACAAGCTGGGGGAGAATCATTTGTCACAGAAGGATTCAACAATTGGAAAAAAGGACCGGAAAAGTTGCGTGGACATGTTGGTAATCATAATAGTGTTCACGCAAGGAACGTACAAGCTTGTCGAGATTTAATGACTCAAGAGCAACACCTACAAGTTTGTGTATCAAAACACTCAGAGCAATCGAAGCAAGACTACCGTGTTCGATTGACTTCATCAGTTAAATGCATCCGGTTACTTTTGAGGCAAGGACTTGCTTTTCGTGGAAATGATGAAAGTTACGACTCTCTTAATCGGGGAAACTTCCTTGAACTCTTAAAGTTTCTTGCAGATAATAATGAAGATGTTGGCAGAGTAGTGATGCGAAATGCACCGGAAAATCACCAAATGACTTCTCCTTGCATTCAAAAAGATATAGTTAATGCAATTGCAAGTGAGACAACTGAAATGATAATCAATGATCTTGGTGGAGAATTATTTGGAATAATAGTTGATGAGTCAAAAGATATATCAGTGAAAGAGCAGATGATTGTGTTTATTCGGTATGTGGATTCAAGTGGGCATATTATTGAGCGTCTTCTTGGAATTACTCATGTTCGTGATACCACATCTATGTCTCTTAAAGTAGCAATTGAACATCTTCTAACAAGGCATGGATTAAGCATTTCAAGAATACGAGGCCAAGACTATGATGGAGCAAGTAATATGCGAGGTGAGTTCAATGGTCTTAGGACTTTGATTATGAATGAGAATCCAAGTGCTTTTTATGTTCATTGTTTTGCTCATCAAATACAACTAGCACTTGTGGGTGTTGCAAAGGAAAATGAGGATGTTGGAGATTTTTTTGTCACTGTCTTGCAATTGTGCAATATTATATGTGCTTCATGTAAGCGAAGAGATAGCTTACGAGACAAACAATTACAGATGTTAATTGATTCAATTTCTGCTGATACAATTGAAACGGGAATTTGTTTGAATCAAGAAGTAGTTTTACAACGTCCTGGTGATACACGTTGGGGATCTCATTATGGTGCACTTGTGAGCATTCTGAAATTATTTTCTCCGGTGATTGATGTTCTTGACGAATTAAGGCAAGATCCAAAACAAAGGCTAGAAGCATTTAGAGTATTGAAGAATATCCTATGTTTTGGTTTTGTATTCTTTTTGCACTTAATGAAGGATGTTTTAGCAATTACCAATGACTTGTCACAGGCATTACAGAGGAAAGATCAAAACATTGTGAATGCCATGAGACTAGTTGATGTCTCAAAACAAAGGTTGCAAATGATGAGGGATGATGGGTGGGAAGCTCTTTTAAAAGAAGTTTCACTATTTTGCAACAAGAATGCAATTTCCATACCTAATATGGATGAAGTTTATGTAGTTCCTGGAAGACCTCGCCGTAATGTGGAAGAAAGGACTCATCTTCATAGGTACCGTGTTGAAAGGTTTTGTGCGGTTTTAGATCTACAACTTCAAGAGCTAAACAACCGTTTCAATGAGAAGAATACATAGTTGCTCTTATGTGTGGCATGTTTTGATCCAAGGAATTCCTTTGCTATGTTTGATAAAGATAAGTTAATTCGATTGGCACAGTTCTATCCAAATAATTTTTCTGATATTGAACTTGAATTACTAGATAACCAACTGCAGACTTATTTTATTGATGTAAGTTCTGATCCTGCTTTCTCTAAATTGGATGGTATTGATGAATTAGCTCAAAAACTGGTGGAAACGAGAAGACATTTGGACTATACATTAGTGTATTTGCTTCTAAAGTTGTCTTTGATCCTACCGGTTGCAACTGCTAGTGTGGAAAGAGCATTTTCTTCTATGAAGTTAATTAAGACATCTTTACGCAACCGGATGAGTGATGATTTCTTACATGATTGCTTAGTGTCATATGTTGAAAAGGATGTTTTTGATCAGGTTTCAAATGAAGCAATTCTACAACGATTTCAAAAGATGAGAGAGCGTAGAGGAGTATTATCCCGTACTTCATCATAAACTTTGTATTGTAATTTATAATGTATTTTATATGTTGACAATTATATTCGTATTAGATATTTTGTATTTGAACCTTGTATTTGAACATTTTTAAATTTATGTTGCCTTTACTTCTTTGCCCCCCCTGAGAAAAATTCCTGGCTCCGTCCCCGGTAGCACTTCTGTTACAATTTCAGTTAGATGGTCACAAGATCAAACTCTAGTATTTGGGCTGAAAAAAGTTAAGAAAATAAAGAATCGTGAGTGTTTTTAAAAAGTGTACTTATAAAAATTATTTTATTCCTTTCAAAAAAAATTATTTTATTTTATTTTAACTTATCTTTTGGTATATATGTCTTCAAAGTAGTACAAGAAATTTTAGAAAATGCTATTTATCCCTCCTAAATTTTTTCTAATTTTTTTTCATGGTGTGGCCTATATTTATTGGGAGTCATGAATTGACTGGCCCTACACACTTTTAATTAAATGCTAAATAATCCAATTAAATTGTATCACATTAGAAGGAGAAATTGTGAGGTAAGTTTTTATGAGGGGTACCCACTCATATATTTTTTATATCAACTTATTACATTTTAATTTACCCTTAAAAATATGCAAGATTCTTTTTTCTATAATTATAATATTATTGATTAAAATAAAAATAAAAATAAGAACAATGATGATGATGAGTGTTATTGTTATTGTTATTGGGTGTTATTTTGAAATTTATATTTAAATAATTAGTTATAATGCGCACATTGCGTGATTAAATTAATGTCCGATACAAAATTTAAAATAAGCAATTATATAATATAATTTTTAAATATCAAAATTAATTAATATAAAATAAAAAAATTTATTTTTGATATATCAAAATGATAATTTTCAACTTGTAATAAAAGTAGTAATAGTAGTAGTAGTAAATATGAGTATTGTTGTAGAGAATTATAATCGAGAATACAAATTATGTCATAACAATTTTAATATTAAAATAAATTAAGCCTTCTTAATGCGATATTGATGAATTAGTAAGAATTCACTATTTTTTTTTAAAATGACATGATTATAATAGGTTTACTAATATTGTCGAATAGTAATTAAAAATTATGCAATGAAATTATAGCATGCAAATTCATAAGTTTTTGTTGTTTATATGATTGAGACGTCAATTATCATTACATGTGAATTATTTATCTTGTAAACTCTCGTTGATATTTTAAAATATTAATTTTTTCCCTTATAAGATTGATTAGATAATTAAATTTTTGCATTTAAATTTTTAAAGTATAGAGAAATTTTGTCTCATACATAATAGATCAACTTATAATAACATGCACGCACGTTTTAACTAAAGTAATATAGATTTGGAATAGACAATAAAAGTTTGTGCTACAACGAATAAGGTTTGGTTTCAACAAAAAAGAAAACAATGCATTCAAATAATAATTATAAATTGACATGCATATTTTGTGTGATAAATAGTACGTCAAAAAATACTAACAATGATGAAGGAGTGTGGATCGATGGGGTGGCTGATATAGGCAATGTAATGGTCGAGTATTATAAAAAACTATTCACGGCTGAACATGGAAATTTGGAAGAAATTATTGACTGCATTTCTTCTCGTGTAAGACCGGAGGATAATGACATGCTTATTAGACCAGTAAGTGTTGAAGAGGTATACAAAGTTGTGATGCAGATGCACCTCGATAAATCCCCGGGTCTGGATAGATTCGGTCCATGCTGTTTTTAGCACTTCTGGGATGTTGCTTGGGGAAAAGTCACCTAATTTTGTCGCCAATTTGTAAACACTGCTAAGCTTCCTGATAAAGCTAATTCAACATTTATTGTTCTTATTCCAAAGAAAGTGCGTCCAAAATCTATGAAGGACTTGAGACCCATAGCCCTCTGCAATGTTCTATACAAAATTGCAGCCAAGGTTTGTGCAAATCGTATGAAGTTTATGCTAGATGGACTCATCTCCGGGGTGTACCAGGACGGTTAATTACAGATAATATCATGTTGGCTTACGAAGCCCACTATTACCTGAATCGCAAAACACAAGGGAGGGAAGGGGTGGTTGCATACCCTAAGTAATTGTAATTGTGTGATAAACTAATATTAATACCCTAAGTAAACCAACTTAGACTGACTCTCAATATTCAATAAGGCAGTACGCAGTAACCCTATCTGAGAAGACAAAAGCCCTAACTCCTCTCCCACAGACCACAGTTTCGCAGTTCGTCACTCACAACTCACTCACTCCCTTTCCCGTCGTTTGGTTAGCGGCTCAGCGCTCCACCGGCGTTCGGCGGCCAACCACCACCAGGTCCAGTGGTCCACCATCAGGCGTCAACGACTCAGTGGGTGCGCTCTTCTTTGTCTTGGCCAATCGCTAGAGTCCGTCGTTTGCTCGGCTGCTCCATTTGCTCATCCATCAGCGGCCAGTCGCTCCAGGAGTCCAGGCTACCACTTAACGACAGTAGTCCACCAGAGTACAACTGTACAAGGTATGTTTTTTTTTTTTAAATAAATATTTTTAGACTATTAATAGTTTAATACTTGATTGTTAACAAGTTTTGTTGTGTGAAATATTTTTTTGTGGCTAATAATACAAATTTATTTTTTAAATTTTCACTTTCCAGTGTATGTTTGAGTTTGTATGTTCAGATGTTTTGTTACTCTGTTTGATTATTTCCAGTGTATTACTCTAAATATATACTCTGTTTACTTGATCTTTGAATGAATATATTCAATGGTGCCTCTAGATTATTAGCAATTATGTTATCATTTTGAGAAAAGAATGTTAGTCGTTAGAACTTGCTGCCCTTTCACCCACGTTGTACATCAACAAGAAAAAGGTTGCAATAAAATTCTTCAGCAAACATGGCTTGTATGCTGTATGCTAGCTTCAGTTGCCTCCTCTTCCTATTGCTACAGTCTTTCTGCATGGTGATCATAGACTTGTAGTCTCCAAAACTCATTCTAAACCTTAGGTACTTTTATCACTGGAAGTCATCTGTTCTTTGTAAAAGTTATTCACTTATTCCCACTTGAAAAGTTAATCATTAGGTATAGCTGGAATGGGTTGACAAATTTCATATTTGAATTGGATATATATTTTTGCTATCAGAGGATTAAACTATCTAGTATCTATTATGTTGTATCTTCTTTTGAACTTAGAATGAATGTGTTGAATGTGTTTAATTTGTTCCACTGTATATTTCTATGTATGTAATATGTTTGATTTTTAATTGTTCTTTGAATGCTATTTGTAGATGCCAATGGAAGATATTTCTCTTTATTTTACCACTTCGTCATCCGATGAAGTTGCTATTTCAACAAGTGGGACCATAGATGCAAGTCAAGTTTCAAAAAAAAAAAAAAGAGAAAAACAATAAAACCAAGGTCAGAAGTTTGGTCTCACTTTGAAAAAATTACTTCGTCTTCCGGGGTTACATCATGCAAATGTATTCATTGGGGGGAAGAATATGCTTGTGATCCAAAGAAAAATGGAACTGCATCACTAAAATATCACATGAATGCATGCAATCAAAATCCCGATAATGTTGATAAGTCACAATCTCAAATTGTTTTGCAAAATAAGGGTAATGAAGGGGAAGGGGCCTATTTCTTTTGTAGTGACAAGATAAATGCTCCGCATTCATCGCCACGCCTGATCGTGGTTTTCCGATTCAACTTTCCGATCGTGGATACCTCTCCCGATCGTGATCGGAGGGAGTGTTTTCCCTAGGCTGTCTAGGGCTTTTGTTATTTAATCTGCGATGATGATTTCGTTTTCTCTACTTGTGATCAATTTCCTTCTGTTGTGGCTCTTGACATCGCTCTGCATGGACGTCTTGGATCTAGAAAAGCGTTGTGCCGAAATTGTTCTGGCCGATGAAGCGGACGGAGGCCTTGAGGCTCCGGATGCTCGATCGATTCCAGATGCGACGATTACGAATAACCTTGTTGGCCGTCTTCTCACCGATCGGCCAATTCGGTTCGAGCATATGTAGCATGTCCTGGCCTCAGTGTGGCGGCCAGTTATGGGTATGTATGCGATTTCTCTGGCGGATGATCTGTTTCTTTTTCAATTCCCGCATCTGAGGGATCTTCATCGGGTAATTGAGGATGGACCTTGGTCCTTTGAGAACCACCTGCTGATTTGTGAACAAGTTCCGCCCAACGTTCGTCCAGAGGAGGTGGAATTGGAATCCATCCCTTTTTGGATTCAGATTCATGGACTACCGGCAATGTATGCATCTCCTGAGTTTATTTCGCAGATCGGCAACTATATAGGGGAATTCATCACTCTGGATCCGTTCAATTTTGGAGGGGCATGGCGAAGTTTTTATAGAATTCGAGTGAGGCTAAGTGTTTCTGCTCCAATCAAGCAGCGCATGAAGCTGGTTAGGCGAGATGGGACGACGCAATGGCTTACGTTCAAATACGAGAGGTTGAGTACGTTCTGTTATTGTTGCGGCATCCTGGGACATTCAGACAAGTTTTGCAAAACGGCATACGAACAGGGTATTCTTCCGGAAGACTTCCCGTATAGGGCGTGGTTACGTGTTGGTCCAAGGCGTTAGGTGAAACCGGTGGGCGCAAAATGGTTATTATCGTCATCCACTACTGCGGCTCCACTCCCTACCGCCTCGGTGGATGTCTCCCCGGCTACTCTTGTGACCAGGGAGGAGTCAGAAGGTCTGCAGGGTGATCTGAAATGTCATAGGGGTGATTTTGTGATTTCGGAGGATATGCTGGGAGATGATGTGCAGATGGCAAAGAATACAAAAACGCATGATTTGGCGAGTCTGGCAGACCAGGCTCGCCGAGCCTTATGAGTCTGTTAAGTTGGAACTGCCGGGGATTGGGGGGGGGGGGTCCCGGACAGTTTGTGAATTATTGGGCATTGTGTCCAAGTATAGACCCCAGTTTGTCTTCTTAATGGAGACAAAAGCAACGGAGAATCGAATAGAGGAGGTGCGTGTGAAGTTAGGTTTCGAGGGAAAAATATGTGTGGATCGAGTAGGCTTCGGAGGGGGATTAGCTTTTCTCTGGAGGGACAAGAATGCGGCATCTTTATTGAGTTTTTATCCAATAACCACATTGACATAGAAATAACTTTTCCAGGTCGTCCGGTGTGGAGGTTGACAGGTTTTTACGGAGATCCGTACAGAGGTTGTCGTAGAGTGACATGGGATCTGTTGAGGCAGCTTAAGGAGAACATTCAGCTCCCTTGGGTAGTAGCAGGAGATTTTAACGATATAACTTGTCTTGCGGAGAAGCGGGGTTCACATTCTCATCCAATGGCACTCATGGAAGATTTTAATGATGCTTTGGGCTATTGCAAATTAAATGATCTGGGAATGACGGGAGGGCGTTTCACATGGGTTAAGGGTCGGGGGACTGTGGCTTGGGTGGAGGAACGGTTGGATAGGGCAGTGGCGACAACCGATTGGCTAGAACTACATGACGGGGCTAGGGTCGAGAACATCTATTCCAATTGTTCCGATCACTGTGCGTTACTGGTGGATATTCATACCGATCCGGTACGGTCAGCGTTGCGGGCGTTCAGATTTGAGAACGCCTGGCTTTTGGAGGCAGGTTGCACGAAGGTAGTCGAAGACGCTTGGCACATGTCTTCGGGTATGAATTTTCAGGACCGAGTGGCGATGTGTGGCCAGTGGTTGAGGAATTGGGGGGGGGGGGCGATTACTACCGTACCTTTGGCGCAAGAACCAAAGCTCTACGGCTCACTCTGAATGATTTGAAAGAGAATAGGTCACCGCAAGTTGTAGCCAGATTCTTGGCAGCTGAGAAGGAATTGGGAGATGTCCAAAAAGCGGAGGAGATTTTTTGGAAGCAGCGTTCTAAGCAATTATGGCTTAAACAAGGTGACGCAAATACCAAATACTTCCATAAGACAGCCTCGGCGCGGCGAAAGCAAAATTACCTAACCCGTGTAAAGGATCAGAATGGCGATTGGACTGAGGGACCGGCAATGAAAGCGGAAATCATAAGGTATTTTGAATTCATTTTTGGTTCTGAAGTCTGCAGTGTTAGTCTGTTTGATCGGGTTCGGGAACGACTGACTACGGAGATGAAAATCTCTTTGTCACAACCGTTCACGATGTCGGATGTTAAAACTGCGTTGTTTGATATGAAGCCAGAAAAGGCCCCGGGGCCGGATGGTATGTCACCGGCCTTCTTTCAACATTTTTGGCCGCTTTTGGGGCACGACTTATCTGTTTTTGTCATTAAATGTGTGGAACAAAAGCAGTTACCACCGGGGTTAAATAATTCCAATATTGTTTTACTCCCCAAGAAACCGGTCCCAGAAAAAGTAACGGACCTACGCCTGATAGCTCTTTGTAACGTAGGTTACAGGGTTCTAGCCAAAATGCTTGCCAATAGATTAAAGGGATGCCTAGCTCAGGTAATCTCCCAATCCCAGAGTGCGTTCGTGCCCGAACGCCTTCTCACGGATAATATTATTGTGGCCAGGGAAATAGGTCATTTTCTACGGAGAACGATCGGGGGTTTATAGGGGTGGGCGGCGTTGAAGCTAGATATGGCTAAGGCGTACGATAGGATGGAGTGGCCTTTTTTGGAGGGCTTTGGGCTTTGATAGAAGCTGGGTGGAGCTGTTAATGGTCTGTGTCACGTCCGTGAAATATTCTATAATGGTGAACGGGGAGATCCCGGGGCAGGTTAGCCCTACACGGGGGATCCGTCAGGGTGATCCGCTGTATCCGTACCTTTTCATCATTTGCGCAAAAGGGTTCTCTACTCTTCTGCAACAGGCAGAGGCACGTGGGGACATCCATGGTGTGCGGGTGGCCCGGGGAGCCCCGGCCATCTCTCACCTCTTTTTTGCTGACGATAGTCTGTTGTTTTTCAGGACATGTGAACGGGAAATATAAAAGAATGTCTTGAAAATTACAGCTCGGCCTCAGGACAATTAATAAATTTTGAGAAGTCCAGTGCAGTGTACAGCCATAATACTAGTCCGCCGGTTCGGGCTTTGGTGTCCGAAATCATAGGGGTTCCCGAGGCGACAGATTTGGGGCGTTACTTGGGCCTTCCATCGGTTGTGGACGTAACAAAACAGCTGTATTTTGTTGTGTCGAAGAGAATATACGGGCAAGGATGGGCACATGGCAAAACAAGCTTCTATCTCGAGCAGGTAAAGAGGTTCTTCTTAAGAGTATCGCTCAATCGTTACCGATTTTTACCATGTCCACTTTCCTATTGCCTATGCGTGTTTGTGACTCTCTGGAAAAGATGTTTAACCGGTACTGGTGGAGCGGTGGGGGTACAGGTAATCGAGGCATACACTGGTTGAGCTGGGACAGGATGTGTGCTCCTAAATCGAAAGGTGGACTGGGTTTCAGAAAGCTCCATGAATTTAATATTGCGTTACTGGCCAAGCAAGGGTGGCGATTATTAATCTATCCCGATTCGCTTGCTTAAGGCAAAATACTATCCGAAATCGGATTTTATGGGCGCACAAATCGGGGCTAATCCAAGCTTCATTTGGCGTAGTATTATGGCGGGGCGGCGTGTTCTGCAGTTGGGAGTGGCTCGGCGACTTGGGGATGGCCGCGATACGAAAGTTTGGGGTTTGAATTGGCTCGCGGGTCCTTCGACGGCAGGTTTGAGTACACCGTGCGTGGAGGAGTTGCGTGAGGCGAGAGTCCATAATCTTCTTGATGAAACGGGTCACTGGGATAGGGACATCATTCGGGATGTGTTTAACGAGGAGGATGTAAGCAGAATTCTGGCAACACCGGTGAATATTCAATTCTAAGACAGTTGGAGGTGGATCGGCGACATCCGGGGATGTTACACTGTTAAACACGGATACCGGCTGCTTATAGCGGATGTATCGAGGGGGTCGTTGACCCGTATATGGCTGAAGCGATCGGCGTCAAAGAAACGTTGACGTGGCTTAAAGAACAACATCACAGGAGTATAATAATTGAGTCTGATTGTTTAAGTTTTTGCAATGCTTTTAATTCAAGTTCCTTTGATTTGTCTTATGTTGGTTTGATTGTTAAGCAATGTCTGTCGATTGCTAGGGACATAGGGAATGTTAGAGTTACCCATGTCAAGAGATCAGCGAACTGCGTGGCTCATGAGTTAGCTCGGGCAACCGGTTCTACAGTTGCCTCAGGGGTGTGGATTGATATCCCACCAGCTTGTATTGCACGTTTTTTCACTCAGTAATGAAGTTCGTTCCGTTTTGTTTCGAAAAAGGGGAAGGGGCTATTTCATCTTGGAAATTCGACCAAGAAGCAATTAGAAAAGCCCTAGCAAATATGATTGTGAAGTGTGAACTACCCTTTAGGTTTGTGAAAAGTGAAGGTTTGAAGGAATTTGTTGAAGTTGCATGTCATAGGTTTCACATTCCTTCAAGAACTACAATCACAAAAGACATTTATCAACTTTATTTAGATGAGAGGATCAAAGTGAGACAATTGTTAAGGAACTCATGTAATAGAGTTTGTTTAACTACGGATACATGGACATCTTTGCAAAGAATTAATTACATGTGTCTCACGGCTCACTTTATTGATGATAAGTGGAGTTTGCATAAGAAAGTCATAAATTTTTGTCAAATTTCAAGTTATAAAGGTGATGCTATTGGAAAATTGATTGAAAAATTATTGCTTTCTTGGGGGGTTAATAAGTTGTTCATTATTACGGTTGATAATGCAAGTGCAAATGATGTTGCTATTGGTTATTTGCAAAAAAAGTTTGAGAGTAAACATGGAAATATTTTGAATGGGAAATATATGCATATGAGGTGTGTTGCACATATAGTGAATTTGATTGTGAATGAAGGTTTGAAACTTTTGAATAAGTCGGTTGCTCGTGTTAGAGGGGCGGTGAGATATGTAAGGCAATCTCTATCTAGATTGCAAAGGTTTAAACAACGTGTTGAAAGTGAAAATATAGAAAGCAAAAGTTTGTTGTGTCTTGATGTTAGTACTCGTTGGAATTCAACATATTTGATGCTAAATTGTGTTAAAAAATTTGAAAATGTTTTCTATATGTTTGATTTACAAGATGAGAATTTTAAAGATGATCTTGAAGCGGGGGATGGTGTTCCTATTGAAAGTGATTGGAAAGTTGTTAGGGACTTGGTAAAATTCTTGGAGCACTTTTATGAGCTTACAAATAGAGTTTCCGGGACTTCTTATGTTACTTCCAATTGCTTGTTTGATGAGATTTGTGAAATTGATTGTTTTTTGAGAGAGTGCAAAGTTTCGGATGAGAATGAATTTAGTTTGGTGGCAATGAAGATGAAAGATAAATTTCACAAATATTGGGGGAGCATTGACAAGTTGAATATGCTAATTTTTGTTGCCATTATTCTTGATCCTATACACAAGTTTTGCTATGTTGAATTTGCTTTGAAAGATATGTTTAAGGGTACAAAAGGTGTGGATATGGCAACCAAGGTTAAAGATGCGGTGTATGAATTCTTTAATGCTTATAAACCTTCAAACAGCATTGTGTCATCTAGTTTCGCTCCAACATCAAGTCCAAATATAGGAGAATGTCAAGGTAGGATGAAAAGCGTATGCACTTCACAAACTTCAATCAGGTAGTGGTGGGGGATCAAATGTCGGAATTGGATAAGTATCTCAGTGAAGCTACGGAGCCAGTGACGGATGATTTTAATATTTTGTTGTGGTGGAAAGTTAATAGCCCTAGATTTCCTTATTTGTCATTGTTGGCTCGAGATGTGCTAGCTATTCCAATATCTACTGTTGCTTCTGAGTCTACCTTTAGTACCGAAGAACATGTTCTTGATTCCTTTAGAAGTTTTTTAATTCCTAGAATGGCTCAAGCTCTTGTGTGCTATCAAGATTGGATAAAAAATTCAACACCTTCACTGGATGTTTTTGAATAGCTTCAAGAATTAAATGACTTTTTGAAATTGTTGAAAATGGTATGTAAATTTTATTCCTCTTGTTTATAAGTTTACTTTCATCACACATATGAAAATTTTAATATTTTTTTTTGGTCTTTAATCTTTTAGATTCTTCATGGAATGCAATGGAACCTACCTTGTGAACTGTGAGTAAGGTGTTTGTTCTTGGATTTCTAAGGTAAAAATTAATATTTGAAATTAGTTGTATTTGTTAGTTTTATTTATTATTTGGTTAAGTGGTTAATTACAATTTATACTTACACTTTTTAATATGTAGGAGTGATGGAGTAAAGTCAGTAAACATCATGGACATCAGGATGGAGTGATGGAAAATTGGAAATCATGGGATGAACTTTGATTTCATTTTTGCATGTTGTTGTAATGTTGTTATGATGTTATGTTTATGAAGACATTAATTTATGGTTTGGACTAGAGACTATGGATTATGGACTTATGGTATTGTTTTGTATGTTTTGATATGAATTTATTATAATATGTATTTTATTTTAATTGGATTTATTATTTTAGGAGTTATTTTTAGAATTTTCAATTTTAGGGTTAAAAATTTCGGTTAATATGTTAACCGACCGATTAACCGAAAAAAAGTTCGGTTCGGTTAACGGTTAAAGCAAAAAAAACTTCAGTTAAAACGGTTTGGTTAACCGATTGAACACCCCTAACAAATAGACATGATTAGGAAATTGAACATCAATGTATCTAGGTAGGTGGTTGCCGCATGTAAACAATTTCAGTCAAATTACCATTGAGAAAAACATTATGAACATCTAGATGTCTTACAGTCCAACCAGAAGATATAGCCAAAGAAGGAAGTAACCTGATTGTAGCAGGTTTTACAACCGGACTAAATGTGTCAAAAAAGTCCTGACTAGGAACCTGATTGAATCCCTTTGCTACTAACCTTGCTTTGTATCTCTTAATTGAACCATCTGTCTTTCTCTTGGTTCGAAAGACCCATTTACAGACAATCACATTCTGGTTAGATTGAGACGGAACTAAACACAAAGTCTGATTCTGTAGTAAAGCATTAAATTCCTCATCCATGGTCTGACGTCATTCCAAGTGTTTGACAGCCTGTGTGTAACGAGTAGGATCACTGGTGCAAACCTGAGCTGTCAAAACTATAGGTGGCGCGTGAGACTAGCTCCGTGTCTCCATATCGTGCGTGCGAACATTCGGTCACGTGCACTGGCCCCGTGAACGCCCTTGCGGACGAGCGGTTGCCACCGAGGCAACCTGCAGTGTTGCCTCGGTTTCAAGAGGCAATGTCGATAATGCAGTGTCGGTCCGTTCTAGCGCTGTCGGCAGTGCTGGTTCGGTCCGAACTAGTGCAGCCGGCTGTGCTAGTTCAGATTGAACGCGGGCAGCAGACTCGGTCACCACAGGGTGAAGAATATATGCAACCCATGGCGCAGAATGAGGCACTGAAACTCCCTGCACAATATTTTAGTAGCAAAATGAAAAACTGCCTCATCAAATCTGACATGTCTGCACACAAATACCTTATTAGTCTATAAGTCCATGCGTCTATACCCCCTAAAAGACTCAGGATAACAAAAAAAAAAACACACGGAGAGGACCTGTAGGACATTTTATGACGATTATAAGGCCATAGGTGAGGATAACATAGACAACCAAAAACACTAGGAAAAGATTAGGATAGAGGAAATTTATGCAATAACGAATGAGGACTGTAGTTATTTAATACAGCAGACGGCATTCTGTTAATTAAATATACCGCAGTCTCAAAAGCAAAATCCCAAAACCTAAATGGAATAAAAGCACGAGCCATGAGGGTTAGACCAGTTTCAACAATATGTCTATGTTTTCGCTCTACACGACCATTTTTTTTGTGGGTATAAGCACATGATTGTCTATGATAGATACCTAATTTAATGAAAGAGGAATGCAATTTTTTTGTACTCGGCACCTAAATCAGACTGAATAGATTTGATCTTACGATTGAAAAGTCGTTCAATAAGAGCACTGAATTTCTCAAAAATATCATAGAGATAAGATTTTTGTTTCATGGGAAAATACCAAGTAAAACGAGAGAAATCATCGACAAAGATAACAAAATATCTATAACCATCAGAAGACAAGAAAGGAGCTAGACCCCAAATATCAGTATAGATTAAATCAAGAATGCTTAAACTAGAACTGTCAACACGTGGCAATGGAAAAAGAGTAGATATACCCAATTGACACGCATTACATAAACTAGAATTACAATGAATAGCACTACTAGACCCACTAACCGAACAAAAAGGAAGAACACGACTAAGGACACAATGGTGTGGATGGCCCAAACGGTCATGCCAGACAGACGAAGACGCACAAGCTGAAAGAAACGCAGAAGGTGACGACAGACGCAGGTGCGATAGGATCCCACAAAGTTGACACTTGGGTTGGTGATTAGCGTTGCTACGGACACAGCCACCATTGCCGCGACGGCCACCGCCACGGGACTGGCCAGATTGACCGCTGGATTGCCCGGAGCCATGACCGCCACCATGCGACTGGCCCCCCTTGCCCCGCTGCTACTCTCCGCCTTTCTGAACAGCGAAGGCCGTCGGCGAAGTCCCTGGTCCACTATGTAACACCCTCGATTTTTAGCATAAATTAAAGCTTATGTGTAAAGACAAATCTAACCATTTCATTAAAAACAAGCGGAAACTAACAGTCAAACACGAGGGAGTTATGCCACATCTATCTAAGCTATAGATGGACAGGCTATAATCTAAAACCAAAATCCAACATAAGTTAACAGTTCAACAAACTAGGGCTCACAGGCCACAAATCTAACTACAGATAGGGAAAGCTACGCTAAACACGTCCTCGGGAAAGCTACGCTAATCACGTCATCATCTAGCGCACTCTCAACGATTTACTCATCACCTGAAAACATAAGGGGTAGCACCCGTTAGCAAATAATGCTAAGTAACCCACCAATACTCGTTGAGTACAATATAGTATAGATATATGAAAACCATTTGAAACTTTGGAATACATAATATATAGTCTTTAAAACGAGGAATAGAGACATCATAGGACTCATCATAGTTCACTCTCAAATAAAGACCAACGTCAACATTTATTCAATAAATCAATAAGAATGACAGAAGCAATTTTACTCATCAACAAGATACATCATACGATAATCAATCAAGGGATAACAATAATCATGCTCATAAACAATAGAAAGTCAAGGATCACATTCAATGATACGTTCCAAGTTCTAACCTTATGCCCGGTTTCAACCTTATGGCTACCCCCGACCTTATCTCAGTTCTAACCACTACTTCCTAGTGTCACCCTGTACACCGAGTCCAACCTTTTCCCTCCTGGAGCCATTGCTCCCCGCCAAACTCCGCCATCTTTTACCGCTGAACTCTTAGCACACGCAGTGCCATTCAATAATAAGTAATAATACTTATCAACAAATGTGTGATAGTATCCCACCGATCAAATGAGCAAAGCTCAACATCAATACCACTAATCTCATAGTAACACATAGTCATTATCATAGAGGATTGAGGCTCATCAATAGCTCAATCAAGTATCAACAAACGTGTACAACATATGTACAAGATTACAACAAAGGATTCAATCGATATATTTCAATGAAAGACATGAATCAAAAATCAAACAACGATATAACAACGATAGACCTTAATCCAAAGGTTAACATGATTGGCAACACAAGTTGCCAATCCTCATTATGAACGAATGAACAACCACATACTAGCATCAACAACATCATAACTAGCATGTATATCAAAAGGGCAAACATAACGATTCAATCGCACATCAACGACTTCACATTAATCCAACGAATAACAAGGTTGGACCATAAGCACGATTCAAGACTCATAATCCTATCATGGATACTTAGGACACCGTTCTAGACATACGAAACATCAAAGGAGACACACAATTGCACAATGATTCAACAAAACGGAGGCCAAAGCATCACGTACCAGTGGGCGGAACGGTGAGTGGACAACCACCCACCACACCCACTTACAGGTACTAGCGGGTGGAACCACGGGTGGACCTCCACCCGCGGCACCGCCCGCCGGTCACCACTCCACCTCCCGTGGGTGGACAGCCACCCGCTGTTCCGCCTGCGGGTACACGTACCCAAGGGAGAAATTCCCTTCGGGGAAAAACATCAACATAGCAAAGTTCAAGTCCAAAACACCCAAAACCTCACATTCAACAAGAAAATGACTTGAACACATGAGTAGCTCAATGAATAGCATTTATGAACCTTAGATACAAGCTCTAACATGCATAAACACAGGATTATGCATCAAATCACTCACAACATCAAGAACATCAATAGAGTAGCAAGAAATCATCATAACAAGTATAAAATAGGTTTTGTAGAGCATGAGTTACCTTTGTAGCCTAAAGAACACCTTCTTCAACCCCCTAGACTTCCCCTTGAAGCTCCTCTTCTACAAGGTCTTTCCAACATAACCAAAAACCACACAAAAGTCACAACTTAGATAAAGCCAAGAAGAATCTATGTAAAAACACTACCCAAGGCTATGCCTTACCTTTCCTAAGATCTTGGTGGTAGAAAGTTAGGATCTTGGAGAGTTCTTGGTAGGATTGAAGGAAGACTTGGTTTGACTTGGGGAATAAGCTACACCTCTAGAGAAAAGATAGAGAGCTAAGCGTTTCTTGCAAAATGTGGGAACTGAAGTGTAATCGGCAACGGAGGCGTCACCCTGCTGAAGTGTCTAGAGCTGCCCGAGAAGATTCAATGAGAGAGACCGAGACGACGAGGCGAGGGCAGAGGTGATGCCAGTCCATACCGCTCGGCTTGTGTGATGCCAGATCGCCAAGGGCATAACTTCATCCGATAATGAGGACATGGTCATAGAGAGGAACACCTGATCTTGGCGAACCCATGCTAGACGATCGGGGTTCGGCCGCGGCAACGCCCCTCTTTGTCGGAAGAGATCATGGCCAGCGGACAAGGGTTTGAACTGTCGATGAAACCCATAGATCATGTCCGTTGAGGAAAGGAACAGCTTGAGCTCTCCAGAATAAGAAGTTCCAATAAGTCAGTTTTACACTGATAAAGTGGTGGGCGGTGGACAGGGTGGTTACGGTTGCAGTGACCAATGAGATAGCAGCATTGGAAACGGTCCGTTCAGAGGAATTGACAGATCCGTCGACCATGGGAAAGAAACCCTAGCTAGCTGATACCAGATGAGAACTGTTATTGAATGTATTAACCGTGATTA